CACCGACTAAATGCTTCAAACAACCATTCAAAAGAAGGAGTTGTCTCGTCATATAACAAACAAGCGCCAGACACGCAAGTTTGTCGGTGATGATTGAAACCTACAAACATCCCTGCAAAAGACTTGGTATTAAAAACAATGCATAACCGAAAGCGTATCCAAAAAAATAAGGAAAATAAGTGGTTAACATACCCAATGGCCGGAAGTGTTTATTGGTTCGGAAGGTGGTGTTGAAGGAGACAGAGTCTCTGAAAAGTGCATAATCTTCACGCATCCTACTGTCTGCCCAAAAAATATTGGCAACTTTCTCCTCACAATCTACCTCTACAGTATAAAAGAAGCCATGATACTTCTCCTTTAGGTCTTGAAAGTAGTCAAGCAAGAAAGTTGCTTCGCCATGAGACATAGCCTTTTGTCTGTTCTTGTTCAAATGGTTCTTCTGATCAGATTTGGTAAAAATCAAGTTCTCATACCCTCCGGCACACTCAGCCAATAGCTGATAGGATGACCTAAGACTCATCCCGGCATTGCGATTTGCTTCAGCAACAAGTCCTTGAGGAACGTTCATGGACTTGTTTGACTTGAATAGGTGAGCATGCTTGGTGGAGTTCAAAACATGATTGTGAGCTCCAATGAAATTGTGCACCACATATCCATCCCTATTCTCATCCCATCGGAAACGAACAAGGGCGGGGCATCCAGCCCTAATTCGAGACCTCTTTCCTTTAGGGTGGCTTCTCTCTACAACCGAATACTCTCCCTGTTTCTGTTTCTCAACATTGACTTTGTCCGTGGAGCCTTGCCTATTACAAAGATAATAAAGGTAGGAATAAATTTCCACCACCTCTCCTTCAGAATTCTTCCTTTTTCTCAAATGTTCTGAATCTACTCGAACACCAAACCCTTTTACGTGAGCATAACGTTCGTAGAAACGAACACACTCGTCCTTAGTGCGAAAAAATATGTTATTCCGCGCTTCATCATCTTCTAGGTCCGAAGTGTTGTGAGCTGCGAGATATTTCCATTACCATTTAGTATCCAATGTGCCCAGAATAATCTCCAGAATACGTCTAACAAAAATCCGTAAATAGTAGGCTAACTCATATCAATGAATCTAAAAATAGTATCGGATGGCTCCGACGATGTATCCACACTATAATCCGACATACTAGTATCCACAATAATTAAGTCAATATAAAAAACACCCATACTGGTATCCACACAAATTAAACATAGGTTACACACTACGTCTAACAAACAGTAGGTAAATAGTATCCAACTAGCTCATAGTAGAATCCCAACATGACCAACAAACATTAAACTCACACCAAAGACATTAAATTTCATTCAATGCTCACAACCAAAACTCAACAATACAAACTTATAAATATGTCAGTCCACAATCACCTTCTTCTTCTACTGTTGCATCGAAGCCAAGCACACAACCACCATCTATTTGACTCAAACCTTCTAATACACAATCAACAAATTCTTATTCTTCATGGGACGAGCTCGTTAATGGACGATCTAACTCGGCCTCATCATCGATCATCATCAGGGACGTTTCCCTGGACGGCGGAGGATGAAGAGGAAAGATGAAGGTCGCCGCCGGCGACTTTTCCGTCAGAGAAAAGAAGAGAGAATTCAGAGAAAAGAAGAGAGAAAGAGGGGTTGATAGAGTTGAGAGAGAAAAAGTGGTTGTGGCATTAATTGCCCCATCACTTCTATTTTTTATACAAATTGGGGTTTCTTTCCCCAATTTCACCAAAACCCCCAAAAGTCTGTCCAAACTGATTCGGGCCCACCCATACTAATAGTTGTTCACCATAACAAATATTCACACCACCAAGACTAGTATCTCAATATTCCACACAAATATCCAAACACATGAACTAAAGGAATATTCTTCAGGTTCAAATAAATATCCACACAACCCAGAAAAATATCCCTATTTCAGAGAAAAATCTTGTGATCATAAAAGATATTACAACTAAGAATGGTAAATATCCACAACACACTAACTAATATCTAATAGTTGTACCCTAAACCCTGAACCCTAAACAAACAAAACTAAACCCTAAACTCTAAAACTCTAATCACTCGACTCTAAAAAATAAAAACTATTATTGTTTGCCCCTGCGAGAATATTCAAAGGTTCCACACAAATATCCAAACACATGAACTAAAGGAATATTTCTTCAGGTTCATAAAACAATCTCATTGACTGTAGTATCATACATCAGCTGAATTGTTACGACATAGAACATAGAAGTATATATCGATTAGTTCTAACAGTAAACGTCCCCTCCTATCTTATATTACCTACTTTGTAGAAGCTGTGAATTTTTCAACAAGAAACCCTAAACCCTAACCCCGAACCCTAAACCCTGAACCGTAAAAAATAAACTCTAAAAACAATATAATCATGAAAAAATAGATATTCATACTAACCAGACTAAACCTTAAACCCTAAAACAGAACCCAAACCCTAATATTGAAACCTTAACCCTAAGATCTATACCGTAAACCTTAAACTCTAAACCAAACCTACATCCTGAACCCTAAAAAATAAACTATAAACAATAAAAACTTATTATTTAATGGGCCTTCGGCGGTCAGCCCTAACTAAGGTTGCAAGCCTTATGTGTTAGGACTTGATAGTGTGTTTAATTTGATGTAAGACAATATTCCAATCCTTCACAAATTGAACACCCGAACCCTAAACCCTAAAACTTAAACTCTAAATTGGTGTAATCAGTTTCGGGTGGTTGGGTTATTTTGGGGTTTGGTAAATATTAGTTTAATGATGGATATTGGTTTGCGAAGGAAGAATACTAGTTCATTTCAACAATGATTTCATGTAATATCAACACAACACATAATAATATCGACTGAAAACAAATAAATATCCACACAAACAAACATACATAAATATTACATGCCCACGCGGGCCACAATTTTCATTCTCTCTTTCCACTCCTCTCCAAAATCCCGCCCAAACTGAAGCGGGCCCACAAAGCCACTTCCTCGGCTCGTCTTCTGCTCCACACGCTGGGTCGGCTTCTACCCCGAAGCCTATCTCCAGCTCACTTAAGTGAGCCACCACGAGCCCGCCTCTCTCCTCCGTTGGATGAAACATGGGCCGACGTGGCCGAAAATCCGGCCTTGTTAGTATCTGCTAACGAATATTGCAGTTAGCATATTAACTTCCCCGGAGAGTGAGATGACACATTTAAAAGAGGAGGAAAATGAGGTAGTGTGAAATAATTGTTCTTCTGCTTTGATTAGTGGATATTCTTGGCCCTATTATGTTGAGTTTTAATTTATTTTAGGAGATGACATTATATTTGACATATTTTTTCTATTTCAGTTTAAAATCCTAAATCAATATTATCATTTGGAAGATTTTTTTCCTTAATACGATTATTGTAATTTATGAGATTTAAGCGGTAATTTGATAATGTCAATATTTTAGTGGTTTTTATTTAAAGTTTGTATTGAAAGATCGTACGTACCGATGGTTAGACCATAAAACTTCACATCATAGGCTAAATCGATAGGTGATATTTAACAATATGAAACGGTTGAACCACAATTAAATTATGACTTCAGTATAAAATACTCTACTACCAACTTTTTCGATACGATTTTACAATCCATTGGTTCAAAAATTTCTTTTACACTGGTGAAAACAAAAGTTTTAAGGCACATTTTGAACTATCTATTGCAAAAAAGCATAAGTCAGTTATCGATAATGAGAATATGCGATCTCATGCAATCAGAAAGACACTTCGCAACTTCTATATTTTTAAAATAAATGTATGCTACTCATACCCTCGCTCATTCATCAACTTAATGAGTAACATATATTTCATTTAATATTATTTTCATAAGTTTTTATTTATTGAATTATTTCATGAAAAATATATTTGTTGCATGAAAATTACTATATTGTTGCTAGACATGTCTGCGATCTGAGAATAATTTGAGAAGTCCGTACGCAACACATTGTCCAACTAACTATTAGCGACAACTTAGTATCATGTCTTATATATTTCAAATCAAGCAACTACAGATTCATTACCAACAGTGTGGTAAAAAAGAATGTTCTTTATTAGGAAAAACTTAAAGACCATACTAAATTCTATGAGACATTTTCTTTCATCCTAAAGGTTGATTATGTATGTATTATGAGAATCAACTATAATATTCAACTATATGGTTTAATTAATTAATGAATGACAATTAGTTATATTTTTTCATTAATGTTTATATTATATATTTTTTTCTTTTCATGTAGGTCTAAACACATTTTGAATAGTTGGGTCACTTTTAAAAAAGTTATATGCATAACTAAGATAGAAAACAATCATTTCATGCATTTCAAATTATCTATTATATCCATTATTATATACTATGTTTCTCGACAAAATTTTTCCAGCCAACGGGCCGGACCCTATGTTAGTGATTATTAGATGTGTAGGACGCAAACGTATCACAACTATTATTATTTTTTGAATTTTGTTTTGTATTCCATTTATTTTCGTTTCGATAAAACATTAGATGGCTAGGGATTGTAAAGCAGAAAATCGGAGAGGAAACCCTAAGCGATCGTTTGCGTAACGGAAGCAACAACCATGCTGTCGGCGGCATCACCGCCCCAGACTGGGCCAAAGGGGTTGAAACCCCCAGACCAAATGGCCGGGCTACGTCGTCCCCCCTCCGAGTCTTCGTCACCGACTAGCAAAGGGGATAAGGAAACACAGCAGAAAAAGAAACGTGCGAGGGCCTTGAACCTGGACCAAGATGTAAATCTCAACGATGTTGAGTTTGAGAGTGCAGAGGATGGGGAAGGAAGGACCTCCAGCAAAAGTAATGAGGACACAACTTTTGAGGCAAACCCATTAAAAGGAGCCTGGGCTGCGGGATCCAAGAAGCTATTCGATGACCCTATGGAAGAGGAAGGCTGGTACGTCGCTGAATCAGACTCTGAGGATGTAATGCAGGTGGAAAAGGAAGAAGATGATATCATTCTGGATGAGGAGAACGACCCCAAATGCCCTAAAATTTGTTTTACTGCGACTGAGAAGATAGGCCTACGTCGGGAATGGAGGTCTGCCCTGGTAGTGAGGGGTTTGGGACGAAATGTCTCGTATCTGCCGTTGGTAAAAAGAATTAATTATCTTTGGGCTAGGAATGGAAAATTTCTAATTTCAGATAAGCATAATGGATGTTTTCTCGTACGGTTCAGGAGCAAGATTGACTATGAGAACGCGATTGAGGGCGGACCATGGATGCTAGGAGATACTTACCTTACTGTACATCGCTGGTTCAAGGGCTTTAACCCTTGGAAGTCTCCAATCAAGTCTACAATGGTGTGGGTACAGCTGCCGGAACTACCAATTGAGTTCTTTCACCCGATGGCGGTGAAACGGATTGTGGGATTTATTGGAAAATATGTTAGAACGGACAGGGAAACAACAGAAGGTGCTAGGAAAAAATATGCACGGGCGCGTGTTGAGGTAGACCTCACAAAGACGCTATTGTCGCAATACACTTTGGAGGAGGAGAAGTATAAGATTACTTATGAAGGATTACAAAATGTTTGTTTTGACTGTGGGTGCTATGGATAACCTACAACACAGTGTCCTTGTAAGGAATCAGTAGTGGAGGAGCAACATGAGCTCGGATACAGTGGTGCCAGAAGCCCAACCGGAGAAAATATATGGAGAATGGATGATTGCACAACGGAAAGGCAAGTGGCAAAGTAATAGAGGCAATAAGGCGATGGGGGAGGCCACAAACCAACGAGAAGGGCCAGCAGAGGATCAGACGACGGGAAGTGAGAGGAATAGATTTCATGTGTTTGGGAAGGAGTAGTCTACGTGGGCGGGCTCCCATGCAAGCCATGCAAATTCACATCACATTCCAATAAATACAATGAGTATAGACAATCAGAACACGACGCAGGAAGTGGCGGCCGGGTGCAGATGGAGGGGCGAGGGGGCTGGGAAAGGCAATACTAATGATAGCAACGAGCAGAGGGTCCAGAGCAGTGTTCCAGTAACCGAAAAGCATGATGTGAGAGCTAAAGGCAAAAGACAGGGAGGGGATATCATGCGACAAAGGGATAAGGAGAGCTTGCCTCTTGTCTAGAAACAACCAATTCCTAAGCAGGGAGCCCAAAACTCTGACTTTACGAGAAAGGAGACAGTAACAAAACCTACTGGGATGACAAAGAGTGTTACACAAGCTGAGGGTGCAGGGAACCGATCCCCTTCACGTCATAAATGAGGATTCTCTGTTATAACTGCCGGGGATTGGGGAATAAATGGGCAGTTAGAAGTTTGAAGTCGTTATTACGACAGGTTTCCCCGACATTGGTGTTCTTAATGGAAACAAAACAAATAAAGGAGGAAAATGCGAGTATGTGTAAGGATTTGGGGTTCCATGATAGTGACTGCGTCCCGACGGGTACGTCTAGAGGGGGTAAGGCGGCTGGAATCAGCATATGGTGGTAGGAGGGCGTGAATATTACTATTATGTCTACCTCCTTGCATCATATTGATGCACGCATTGTGGAAGGAGATGAGGTGTGGCGTTTCTCGGGTATCTATGGGTGGCCGAACGGAAGTGACAAAATTCAAACCTGGGAGATGCTACGCCAGCTGAGACAACAATGGGATGGGAGATGGATGTGTGGAGGAGATTTCAACCAAGTGTTACTACCATCGGAGAAGGGCGGTGGACGGGAGGCTGCGGATCCAGAGATGACCTAGTTCGCGGAATGCCTCAATGATATAGGGCTCCGGGATGTGGGCTTCCATGGGTTCCCGTATACGTGGCAAAATAACAGGCAAGAAGGCCGTTTTATTGAAGAACGTTTGGACAGGTACGTAGCCTCTGACAGCTGGCTCGATCTCTGCCTGCGGGTGAGGGTCCAACATCTTGATAAACGATCGTCGGATCATAGGCCAATCATGTGTGACACTAGGGGCGAAGAGGATTCAGAACCGCAGTGGGGATGGTCTTTCACAGTGGGCAAAACACCAGGATTGCCCTAAAATAGTTGAGGAAGCTTGGAAGAACTCAAGTGTACAGGATACGTTAGGAAAAATTGCAGCGTGTGACCAAAAGCTTGAAGATTGGAGCCGCCAGACCTTTCCTATATTTAGAAAACAAAAGGAAAGGATTCAACGAGCCATGCGTGCTTTAGACAGAAGAGAAAGGACAGATGAGATACTCGCCCAACAGAGAAGTCTGGAAAGAGAACTTGCGGAATTGGAGGATGAGGAAGAGCAATATTGGCAGCAGAGGTCGAGAGCGGATTGGCTGAAACATGGCGATAAAAACACAAATTTCTTTCACAGGAAAGCTTCAGCAAGACGCAAAAGAAATACAATTCGAAAGATCCAAGATGAAGGTGGCAGGTGGTACGAGGGACAAGAGGAGATCTTCAAGTGTTTTACGAACTACTTTCCCCTCTTTTTACAGCTAATCCACGGCCGGAGACTTCACCAGTCTTAGACTCTATTAGCAGGAAGATTACTCAGGCGGACAATGAGGACCTCACAAAGGCGGTGTCGAGGGAGGAAGTACGGCAGGCATTGAGGCAAATGGGGCCCAGGAAAGCTCCAGGTGTTGATGGCCTTTCCGACTTATTCTTTCGCAAGTACTGGAATATTGTGGGGGATGATGTGTTCGAGCTGGTTAGAGACATCATACAGGGAGGAGCCATCCCGCAAAGTTTGAATTACACACTTATAGCGTGTATTCCGAAGGTTAAAACACCCTCAAAACCCTCGGAATATCGGCCCATAAGTCTGTTTAATGTCATCTATAAGCTGGTTTCAAAAGTCTCGGCGAATCGACTGAAAGTGTTGTTGGATAAGGTGATTTCACAAGCCCAGAGTGCCTTTGTACCGGGTAGGGCTATTACGGATAATATTATGACAGCGTTTGAGTGTTTCCACACGGTGAAGAAGAAAACAAAAGGAAAAGTGAGTTTCTTTGCAGCAAAGATCGATATGGCCAAGGCCTATGATCGTGTTGAATTGAACTTTCTGGAAGGGGTTATGCGAAAGATGGGTTTTGCTGACGCCTGGGTGGAGGTAGTCATGAAATGCGTCAGGTCAGTAACTTACTCGGTCTTGGTAAATGGTCATCGTTCGCCGATTTTCTCCCCTGGGAGAGGAGTTAGACAAGGGGACCCACTATCCCCGTATTTGTTCCTATTGTGTGCTGAGGGACTGTCAGCGTATACGTCACTTGCAGAAAGGGAAGGGCGAATGCATGGTTTTCAGGCGGCACAGGGAGCTCCCGCAGTTTCCCACCTTTTTTTCGCCGATGATAGCATTTTCTTTGGCAAAGCCACAGTTCAGGAAAGTAGAGAGCTAAAGTGTATTTTAAATGCCTACAAAAAAGAGTCGGGCAACTGGTTAGTTTCCCAAAATCGGCGGTCTGTTTCAGTGGCAATGTGAAACCACATAATAAATTGGAGGTAGGAGGCCTGCTGGGTATGCAGATAGTTGACAAACATGAGAAGTATTTGGGATTAGCTACTGTTGTCGGAAGATCGAAGAAGGACCTTTTCATTGACCTGAGAGAGCGGGTTAGGAAAAAGCTGAAGGGTTGGAAGGATAAATCGTTGTCCATTGCAACAAGAGAAGTGTTGATTAAATCAGTAGCACAAGCACAGTTTACTTATGCCATGTCGGTAGTGCGGGTTCCAGAAGGAATCATCGAAGAAGTCCACAGCCTAATCTCAAATTTCTGGTGGGGACAAAAGGGTGAAGAAAGGCGAGAACACTGGGTGAAGAGGGAAGAGTTTATTTTTCCGAAAGAGGCAGGCGGTATGGGTTTTCGGGATTTAAGAGGTTTTAATACAGCTCTCCTAGCAAAACAGCTGTGGAATATCTATCGTAGACTGGACTCACTAATCGCTAGAATCTTTCGAGCAAAATACCATAAGCACTCCTCGGTTTTAGATGCGAGATTGGGGTACAGACCCAACTTTATATGGAGAAGCATTCTCTCAGCGCAGAACCTGTTATGCAGCGGACTTCGCTGGCGAATTGGAAACAGTACGGGAGTAAGAATTTGGGGCGACAGATGGGTGCCCACTCTGGCCGAACACGTCATTACTTCGGCGCCCATGGGCCTCCCGGTGGACTCGGTAATGCGCGAGTTGATAAATGATGAAGAGGAAGCCTGGGACCATAGCCTGTTAGAGAGCATTTTTCCCTTTGGAAGTTGTGAACGCCATTGAACAGATTCCCTTACGTGGGAATGGCGTAGCGGATCAGATAATATGGTCAAGGAGTAAAAATGGATTGTACTCGGTGAAAGAAGGGTATAAATTATGGCTGCAGGGTTTCTGTGAGGAAGAAGGAGTAACAACAGTGGGTGACCCGGAGATTTGGAGGCGGTTGTGGGGACTGCCGATACCGCCAAAAGTGAAGACGTTTCTCTGGCGGTTTGCTCGTGGAGCACTACCCACGGGGGACAAGATGAGTAACCGAAGCCAGAAGTGGGGGGACAGGTGCCCATTTTGCAATCTACGGGAATCCCAGGTTCACTTGTTTGGTGAGTGTAGTTGGAGCTCCAGGATTTGGCGCGATTCGCAATCTGTGAGCTGTTTTGAACTCCGAAAACAGGGGGATTGCTGGGACTGGATGAAGGAGGTGATGCCGATATTGCTGGTTGGGGCGTATTATTATGGTTTTTGTGGAAAGAAAGGAATGCCCAACTCTTCAATGGACATAAGCTACCTGAGGGTGAAATTGCAGCTAGAGCGAACCTATTCTTGGAGGATTTTAATCGACATCAAGAAAGGGATGAAAACTAAGCAGATAAATGGAGTCCGGAAGAAATGGCAGAAGCCGGCCGAGGGGGTTGTTTCGATCACGATTGATGCAGCAATTTTAGAAGGAGGGGGAGCTGGTTTGGGAGTGGTGGCTCGAGATAGCAGGGCGGCTTCATTTTGACGGCGGTTAAGCGTGTTCGAGGTATGTGGGAAGCTGAACAGGCTGAGGCTCTTGCGATGGAGCTAGGAATACAAACGGCGACATTGATCCAGGCTCTTCGTTTTGTGCTGGAAAGTGACTGCCAAACTTTGGTGCTAAGACTACAGAACTCGGTGGAGGACGCTACTAAAATGGGAATCATCTGCGGTAGCATTCAACGAGGGATCAGAAACATGAGAGAAGTTCGTGTGACCCACATTGGTAGAGAAGCGAACACTGCAACACATCTTATGGCCCGTGTGAATGCTAGGTGGGATGAAAGGCAGGTTTGGTTGATTAATAAAAGCATACAGGTTCCCGTAAAAAAAAACATTAGATGGCTAAGAGAATGGTGTGAACATTACCTAATTAAGCAAGATAGTTAGATAGACTGATAGAGGATAAAAACTATAATGGATTAGTTTACAATTTCTTAAAATTTTCGATTTTGTTATTTTGTCCACCATAATTCCTTTTCCATTTTTAATAATAATCCTTAAGCAGTGCACTGGCACAGCAGGCAGCACCGCCCACCTGCTCCATCCGTCGTCTCGTCCGTCTCGACAAAAATAGTTTTTGGTGGATCCAATTTTTCGATTTCCCTCTCTTTCTCAAATCCTTGGAGGGAAAAAAGGGAATCAAATAAACGCTTCAATCAAAATATTCAAGTTCAAAAAATTTCACAGCCCATTCTCTCTCTCTCTCCCCTGACTGGTAGTCGCAAAAATCTAGGGTTTAGCTGAGCACGCGAGTTCACCGTTCTCTGTTTTCGAGTTTGGAGTCCGGGCGCCGGACGGAGGATGCTTTGAGGTTCGGAATTTGCTCGGCAAGCTGCTTGAACTTACTCCGATCTGATTTTTCGCAAGGTAAAAGAACAAGGGTTCGCCTTTTCTTCCAGCTTTCTGTTCGCAAGTAGCACTATATAGCTGTTTCATTTCTTGGCCCTTCAATCTCATAAATGCTCGTCATTTTGGCGCTTTCGCCTGTGTTTGAGAATCGGAGTGCTTCATTTTGGTACGAGCTTGTGGTGTCCTTTTACCTCGGTGTTGTTGAGCTCGTTTTTCTGGTTTCTGCTTCGTAGCTCAGTTGTGATTTGAAGGGAGTTGATTCTGTTGAGTAATTTGGTGAATACTTGATTGGTTTACTAGGTAAGATTAGGTTTTGGGGAATGAAGTTGATTACAGAATAATAATGACGAAACATTTTGTTTATTATGTAGGATTTGAAGAAACCCTTGAGTGGAAATTGCTGGCCGTTGTTTTTTTCTTTCTGTGTGTAGTAAGAATTTTACGAGATAGTCTCGACATATTATATTACATGCATTGGATGCTTTAATTTGTTTTCTGCTGTCATTGAATGCATTTGCAGTTTGATTTTGAGTGCAGATATTGAGCATTGATCACTGTTAGCTGGTGAACACGAAACTTGTGAAGGATTTAGTGTTCTTTTTCCTGTGACAATGCAAACCAAGAAGAGACTTTCCGGGAGGAGTAGTTGTAGAGAGAATGGAAGCACTAGGGTGTCCAGAACTCAGAGGAAAGGATCGGAGAACACGCATGTTGGTCAAAAGAAAGCTACAGATCTAATAACATCTTCGGCAAGAAAGCCGAAATGTGGTATGGTCTACTCTCCTACTATGTTATTTTGGCGATGATGCTTGGAAAACTCGGTATTGATCTTCTGATGTTGCCGTGTTAGACTTGTTACTGATTTTTCTGAACATGATTCAAGCTTATTATTGCCTAATGTTTGGGTTCTTGACAACACAAAGCCAAGTAGTCGTAGATTTCTTGTGAGGGCGCGGGAGTTCTTTTCTATTAAAAGCTATTCATTGATAACATAGAAGTTTGTTCTTACCTTACTGTGTTAATATTTTTCATATCGGTAAGCTTGTTAGCATTAGTTAATTTTTAGGACCTTTTGGTTTTTCGATGTTGTTGATGCTGTAGAAGTATCGTGGATGTATCTACTTTAGAGTGCTTGTACTACTTGCCTCTGCCAACTAATCAATTAAGAGTATTCCCATTCCTCTTGGTACTCTCTGTAGGCACATCTGCAAAGAAACTTGTAGAGCCTGTGGGAGGAACAGATTTGGACACCAGATCTGGCCTTGCCAATGACAAAGCATCCAGTGTTCCTTCTGATTGTGATGTGGTGAATAATGAGGTTTGCAAATCTCACTCCAACTTTCTCGTGTAATATTCTTCTTCAATGCAACTTCTGTGTTCTTTCTTGGGCTTGAATAAATGAGGTCTATCCTACTAAGCTGCCACACACTTAGCAGGGGATTTCTTGCAGTAATATTCTGTACCGAGAGCTTCAAGTAGAGGTAGAATACAGAAATTAAGTTTGATTGTGTGCAGGGTTGCTATGTCGGAGCTACTGAACATGCATCTGAAACTATATTTTCTCCTGGTCATCACAATGAAGGTAGGTTATACATAGACAGCTAAATCTTATGAGGATCATTTTTGACTGCTTGATCTTGTTTTAACGTGCTTATGAGCCATCAATCTTAAAATAGGTTTTGTGTCATGTCATTGTAGTTGACTTTATCAAATCATTCCGGACTGCCGAGCAGGCTTCTCTACAAGATAGTGTCACAGGGTATTCGACCATTGATATAACAACCTTTTCATCTACTGTTGAGGATAGCATATCAGGTGAGAGCAAATCGACTACCATGCACATGACTGCAGGCAATCAAAGATTTCTCAACTGAAATGTTGCGATTTCTTGTGGGTTATGCAGATACAGAGGGAGCTGGGCTGTCATCTGAAGTTTCAGCCATATACCTTGCCATGAGGAATTCAAAGCTTGAATGTGTGGACGAGCATGGACAAGATCCTATGTCGACTGATGTGTGCTTGGAAGAGGATGAGTATGAAGAGTTTGAGGATTTTGACCCGTATTTCTTCATTAAGAACTTGCCTGAATTATCCTCAGTGGTCCCCACTTTCAGACGTGCTTTGTTGCCCAAGCAGACTCGAAGTTGCCCGCCAACCACTCTCGTCTTGGACCTGGATGGTGAGGATCTCAGTAGCTCATCCTTTCATGCTTTATACCTTTTCAACCCTTCGCAGCCACTTAAAACCCATTGCGTTCATGGGTAAATAGGTCGGCTTGATGGCTTTCTATAGAATTACTATTTAGTGTCTTGATATTTTGCATCTTCTGTGCTTTGTAATTTCATATATTCACAATGAACAAATTTGTATCCAACCTGCTTGCCACCCTTAGATAACTGATTAATGACGTTAGTAACTGATAAACGCTTTCTTTCTGACAGAAACTTTGGTGCACTCCACTCTAGAACCATGTGACGATGCTGACTTCACATTTCCCGTGCACGTTAATCAAGAGGATCATATGGTTTACGTTCGGTGTCGTCCTCATCTTAGAGATTTCATGGACAGAGTTTCTACTTTGTTTGAGATAATCATATTTACGGCTAGCCAGAGTATTTATGCAGAGCAGCTTCTGAATGTTCTAGATCCAAAAAGGAAAGTGTTTCGCCACCGTGTCTACCGGGAATCTTGTGTTTTTGTGGAGGGGAACTACGTCAAAGATTTGACAATCCTTGGCCGTGATTTGGCTCATGTTATCATAGTTGATAACTCCCCGCAGGTACTTCTACTGTTACATAGTTCACTATTTGGTACTGCACGCTATGCCTATTATACTTCTATGTTGAGTTATAGAAAGTTCAGGTCCAACTGTCCTCAGTTCTTGGTCGGTGGAATTGATCATTTTATATCTTGAATCTTGAATGAATTGGCAACTCATCAATCTTGACGAGATAACATTTATGCTTATGTAGTTTTGATGAGATCATCTCAAATAGGGTGCAACAATTGAAGCGGGTTTGAATTGTTTTATGTCTGGACACTCCAACTAAGGGAGGGAAAATTGTTTATAGTTAAACCAAAACCAAATTCCACGGTTTCGAGCAACTGAAACTGACTTATTTGATTTGGATATTGGTTTTGGTAGTTGAATTTAGATTTAGATTTTTTTTTTTTTGGGTTTTGGAAGCTTAAAAGACGTACTGGTGAAATATTAACTTGCAGTAAATTCCATCAAAGATGATATGTCCTAGTAAATTCACGATAAGTTTGTTTGAAATCTCAGCTAGCCAGAACTAAAACCAAAGTACGAGGTTTTGGTTTCAGTTAACCAGAAAGTAAATTGCTTTGGTTTCACAAATACTTTCTTTTAGATTTTGCGTAACCAGAATCCTGATCTGATTCCCAACTCACGAGGTTTGATGTCTTTGCAGGCCTTTGGATTCCAAGTAGACAATGGCATTCCCATAGAGAGTTGGTTTGACAACCGTGATGATCAGGAACTGCTCCTGCTACTTCCATTTCTCGAAACCTTAGCATGCACCGAAGATGTTAGGCCTGTGATAGCCGGGAAATACAATCTCCGACAAAAAGTTGCTGCTGCTACTTTCCCTTCTCTAACCTCATTTGGAGATCCTCTCGAAAGGTAAAAAAAAAACACTCCCATTCGTGTACTTAAAGCTCTGTTGTATTTCTAGTGGTGGGAACTGGGAACAAAGGAGATTTTTTCCAGATTGTACAATGGACAACAGCCCTTGTATTATTTTCCTTTTTGGCTTCTTTCACATATTGGACAACGATTTGTGGTGAAAACTCAACTTTCCGTTTTCGTCAATAGCTCTCGACGAAAGCGAATGAGGAACAGAGAAAGTGTCTGCTTCCAATGTGGAAGACCTGTCGTTCGTTTGTAGATGTAATGTTTTCATACAGAGCCTTTTGCAAGAACTAGAAAACAGATGATACTAATAACAAGCTTGCTGTGCAATAGAGGTTAGTGCATTGGTCAGTTGATCAGCTGTGGATGTTTTGTGCTGCCTTGTGATTTCCTTTAGCCAGTGTGATTCTCAGATTCTAGCAGGTTGCCTACAGCTCTCTTGGAAAGAAGGGGGTTTTGTTTCCTGGAAAAGAAATAACATTTTCACTGTACATCGTTCGGTTGGGTGTGTAGTTGCGAGCTTTTGTTATTTGTAGTATCATTTTTTTTATAGAATTTAATATTTTTTATTCAAATGCATACAATCATGCAATTTGGAATACAAAAGGCTCAAAACCTGAAGGCATTTCGTAAAATATAGAAGTGAATTGAACAATTTGTTTCACCAGTGTATTGAATAAAACTATACTTAAAGAAAGTAATTAGTAATTCAGGCAAGTAATATTCAGCTAAATAAATATACTTTATTATGATAAAAGAAACCAACGGTTTATTATTTATTTGAAATTTGATGAAACCGAGTCAAGCATGAATTCGTGATTTGCTAATTTACAGTCTTCTACTTCTGTTGTAGTATATATCTCTAAAATCCGAAAAAGGAAAACATATAGGAAATAAAAATGGTCAAACCCCACCGTAAGCATAATATAGTCGCTCCTCCGTCTGTAGAAATGGACGAGGCCCATTAGGCCCAAACAGCAAATACATTCGTGCGGGCCCCACACGATAGGGGTGGGCACACGGTTCGGTAAACCCGAACCGAACCGGACCGAACCCGATTTAAACCGAACCGAAACCGAAATATTGTTATTCGGTTCGGAATTCGGAAGGAGAATGTGCCAAATTCGGAAACCAGGGTTCTTTTGACCGAACCGAGGTTCCGAATTTCGAACCGACAAACCGAAACATGCTGCCCAGCCCAATAATCATCATAGCCCAGTCGCCCAACAAGCCCAAAAGACTTACCTTCCTGAGCCCAAAATCCAAATAATGAATCACACAACCCTAGCCCATGACCCCTCTCACCTCTCTCTGCAGACAACCAACAAAGACCATCTCTCTCATCTATCATCTCTCGCCGTTGCCGCCTCTCACCTCTCTCTGCAGACAACCAACAAAGACCATCTCTCTCATCTATCATCTCTCGCCGTTGCCGCCTAGAGAAGAGAATCCGAGTCAAGATATCCCAATCCTTGAGCTGCGTTGCAACTGGAGCCGATCTGAAGCAGGTTGCCCTCGGCCAGGGGAGGAGAGGAAAGGAGATCTACCGCCGACAATTCTGGTGTTGACATCTTGGCGGCGACGTGCTCAACGGCGGCTTGTGGAGTGGGCAGAGCAGATCCGAAGGCGGCTTGCGGAGTGAACACGACGGCGGCGTACCGCTTCCCTTCCTTCTCTCTCGTCGTTACTCCTTGCCGTCATAGCCACTTCCCTTCCTCCCCTCCATCGGGTTTGAATTGATTTTGGTGGTGTGATGTTGTACTGGAAGATTGGAAAAAAGGAGAGATAAAGAATTGGAGGGGTAGAAAATGAATGGAAAGGGAGAGAGAGGGGAATGGATCTGTCGAAAAAGGAAAAAGAAAGTGAGAGGGGTTGCAGTCTTGGAGAAGGCAGATTAGAAGTCAAAAGGAAGGAAGGGTTTCGGGTTGAGCATTAAAACCGGACCGAACCGGGATATATTTCGGTTCGGATGGTCCGAACCGAAATATATTCCGGTTCGAATTCGGTTTGGGGTTGAGATGAAATCGGGGATCCGGTATGCTCCATTTCGGTTCGGTTTTGACCGAACCGAACCGATGCCCACCCCTACCACACGATGGAGTAAAACGCTGTTATCCAAAAACCGAACCGAACCGATGCCCACCCCTACCACACGATGGAGTAAAACGCTGTTATCCAACGTGGATGGTGACGCATCCATTTCCCCGACGAAATCGGTCCTTAGCTCCTTGCCGTTTCGCGTGGGGTTTCGGTTTCCCTCCTCAATTCCCCGCATTTTGCAGCGTGTCGTCCAAGCTTCCATAAGTCTGGGCGCGGTGCTGGAACTAATAAACTCAGACACTCACTCTACTCTCGCTAGGCAACCGCCTTTATAAACCAGGGATCCTCCCAAACATCGCCATTTTCACTCACCATTTGTATTCATTTCAAAATTCAAATATCCTCTCTCTCGAACACTCTCAATTTCTGTTGTCGTCGTCGAAAATCTCTCCTTCCTCAGATCTCAACGCCATGGTAGTTGGCTCAGAGAAAACTCAGTCCGTTTGATTTTGTGCTAGTTCTTCGTCTGAATTTGCTGTCGAGCTGACCTCGGTTCGTTCAATAATTGTTGTTTCAGGCTGTCGCGCATAAGGTGAAGGAGGCGGAAATCACCGAGCAGGATTCGCTTCTGCTGGTATCCACATTCTGTTCCCTTCGCTGCTTCCGTTCTTCTTCCTCGTCTATCTAAATCATTTACAATATGGAGTAGAGAGTCTTGAACCCTGCATTGGGAGCTTGTTTAGAGTACAGATCTCGTATTCTTCTGTGCTACTCAGATGCTCTGTTTGCTTGCGGTTTCTTTGTGTTTTTGGCATTTCTAGCTAGTAATCGAACCAGTACTTCGTTTACTGGAAGTGCGCGCTTGTCTCTTTGTTTTTGCTCGGATTCTTTCTGTATTCTCTCGCTTAAGTTGGTTTCTATTGAGATTATGGCGCCTTGCCTTCATGCTTCGGTTGCGAGAAATTTCTTTAGCTCGCAGTGAAAGCTCTATTTCTGTTTTTAGTTCCTTCGATCTTCTGGAGTTCGTTTCATATATCGAGTATGCGCTAGCGGTATACTTGCTCGGATTCCTTCAGTAATTGTGAGATTTCTTCTGTATGGATGCTACCTTAAACTTCCGTTGCGATTGTTTCTGAACAACTGTTAAACCTTAGTTCTTCTATTCTCTAGCTTCTTCGTTAGAACCGCTCTGTGTTTATTTGAATTTTAATTTCTGTAACAGACGAGAAATCTGATGAGGATAGCGATTTTCAATATCAGCTATATCAGAGGCTTGTTTCCAGAGAAGTATTTCACCGATAAGAACGTTCCTGCTTTAGGTAACTAGAATCTCAGTTTGAAATCAATTTTCTGAATAAAATTTGGAAAGAAGAAAAAAAAAAGTCGGTGATCTTGTTTGTAACCTACGGCTCCGTGAACAGAGATGAAGATCAAGAAGTTGATGCCTATGGATGCTGAATCTCGTCGACTGATTGACTGGATGGAGAAAGGTACTGATGAACTTTTCTTGTTCACCTGGTTTCGCTTAACCTAACTTCGCTGTTGTTTACACTCTTCTGCTCAGGTGTCTACGATGCATTACAGAAGAAATACCTCAAGATGCTTTTGTTCTGTGTATGCGAGGCAATAGACGGACCGATGATAGAGGAGTACTCATGTAAGTAACTCTCCATGGAGGTGATTGTGATTCTGAGTGAAGTCTAGCTTATGGCTTTTATCTTTTGCATCTCTCGGTGTTTGTAAGTGTCTTAAGGGAGTGATTCTAATGGTTCTCGTCGTGTTGCAGTTTCCTTCAGTTACTCTGATTCTGATAGTCAAGAGGTCTCCATGAACATCAACCGCATTGGAAACAAGAAAAAGGGAGGAAGCTTCAAGTGTACCTCTGTGACGGAATGCACTCCTAATCAGATGAGAAGTTCGGCTTGTAAAATGGTGCGCACTCTTGTTCAGTTGATGAGAACTCTTGACAAGATGCCTGAAGAGGTAAGGTGTTCTAGGTAGTTGGTAGCATTGATCACAAAATGTCTGCAGGTTGATCAATTCAGTGACTAACTTGTAGTTGTGTTTTTGTTTGCAGCGCACCATACTGATGAAACTCCTCTACTATGATGATATCACGGTATGCCTGCTGTTAGAAGACTCTTCTTATGTAGTGTTTAGTACTTCTGGATCTGAGTAACTCTATGATCCTAAGGATTTCCATAGTAAAAGTTTCACCTCACGATTAACTTGTTTTAGTCTAGAACAGTGCCAGTATTTTTTTTTTTTTTTTTGACAAAGGGGTGCCAGTAAATTATTCTGAAAAATTGCAGCCTCCAGACTATGAGCCGCCATTCTTTAGGGAGTGCTCAGAAGAAGATGCTCACAATCCATGGACTAAAAGTCCTCTGAGGATGGAGGTTGGAAATGTCAACAGCAAGCATTTTGTGTTGGCACTCAAGGTAAGACTGAGTGGTTTGGTTCACGCTTCATCTTGTAGGGGTAATTGAACTGATGGGTTTGTTTTCTATAGGTAAAAAGTGTGCTCGATCCATGTGACGATGGAAATGAGGACATGGAAGAAAATGCTGTGAACTTAGGAGCTGATTCTGATCCAGGCGACGACTCTTCAAATGGCTCTGACACTGAGGTGAAGTGTTTTATTTTTGACCTTTTTGTTGCAAGTTAGCTCTCCTTAATGGTTGCACATGAATGAACAAACTGATCGAGTATAGTCTAATATTCTATCTTAACTTCATGGCTTTCCAGGATAATGAATCAGAAGACCGATTCATAGTAGCACCAGCAGGTAATTACAGAACCTCTTGTTAGCTCGCAGTCCCTTAGTAAGAATGTTGCTGAAAAGTAATGTTTGGTCCATATGAACAGGCAAGCAGAAGCAAACAGAAATAGATTCTGGCATCCCTGATCAAGGTAACACTTCCAGTTTAGACTTGGAAGACCACTACATTCCATCCTAAGATCTCGCCTTAACATTGAATTGAAAAGTACTTAGCTGCAAGTGCTGGAACCCTTTTCTCATTTATGTTACTTGTTGCCCAGATGATACTCAGGATCCGGAGGAAGATGAACAGCAACTTGCTAGGGTGAAGGACTGGGTTAATAGTTACCATCGTGATACCATTGAACTAACTGATATCCTCTCCCATTTCACAGATATCACAGTGGTAAGAAAATCTCTTGCTGATACACTGTACTGTTTTAAACCCTTCCCTTGCTTCCTAAGTTCTGACTGTTGATATTTGATCCATCGATGCAGGCTTTGACCGAAGGTAAACTGCCTGGGATCATTGAGGCTAAACGATTGCTTGATAAAACTTTCAAGTACTTAAGCTACTACTACTTTCAAACTTATTCTTGATTCCCCTTTTTATTGATTACAGAAATCATCGACAAGCTTGTGAACCAAGGTGTTCTATCAAAAGCAGGCACAGATCTTTACACCATAATCAAGCAGAAGGTTCAATTCTTTCTTAATTTTCACTTTCACTGTTTTTTCCAAACTGGTCATGAGTTTTTGGACTGATGCAGTTCTCTGTTTTGGCACAACAGACATCTGAGTTTGACTTCATGACGGTCAAAGAGGAAATGAAAGGCCAAGCAGCACAAGTTGGGGATAAATCTCCACAGGTCGATGATTACTTGTACATGAAGGTACCATTCTTTCTTCAATCTCCAGAAATCAGTAGCCTATATGAAGTTTCCTTAATGACCTGTAACTACATTCTCTGACTCATTTTACTAGGCTTTGTATCATGCCCTTCCAATGACCTACGTGACCATACCAAAGCTTCAGAATGAACTTAAGGGAGAAGCTTGCAACCTGACTACGCTGCGTAAACTCATGAACAAGATGACCAACGATGGTTATCTTGAAGCAAAAGGCAGCCGCAGATTAGGTGATCATTATCTAGCCATATTAACACCAGCCCCTATTCTTTTCCTTCTTTCCCCTTTTGCTTCCTTCTTTTTAATGTACTTGATCAAGTCCTAATCATTGGTCTTTCATAGGCAAGCGTGTGATCCACTCCTCGGTGACTGAGAAGAAGCTCACGGAAGTGAAGAAAGCCCTCCTCCAACTCCAAGACGACCCAATGGTAATAACTAATAACGTAGTGACTCCAGTAACATCAATACGCTGTCGTTTAAGCTTCATTCTGAAAAATTGGAGAACCCCTCTTTTTGCATCTCTCACAGGATCTCGACACTAATGAAAATCAAACCAAGGCAGCAGCTCCTGCAGAACAGCCTAAATCCGGTTGGCCAATTCTATCCACCTATCGAGAGTTGTGCCTTCCCCTCTGAAATGAATGAAGCCCCCAAGTAACTAACTGTCAAGTCTGGTTTCAGGAACGAAACAGAGAGACAACAATAACTCAACCTGCGGAGGTCTCCATTCGGTCGGGTCGGATTTGACCCGGACGAAGCTGGGATCTGTCTGGACAGAGCAGACAGTCACGAAGCCGAGGGAACATGGAAACACCCCAACTAGCAAGGCTGCTGAGGTAAAGAGTAAACACTGCATACTTCAAGGAAGTAACCTTTGTGCTGTGTTTTCATCGAATGGTTAGACTCTAATGAGATAGTTTGATTTCATTCACCTTTGCTGGATTTCTGCACAGCCGGTTGCTTCGAGGGAGAGCGGAAATGTGGAAGCCGTTCTCTGCAGCCGATCTTCTCAGGACCGGAAGGGCAGGAAATCCAGCACGGTACGTATATACATATCTCCCACAGCTTAATGCGTCATCGCTTCCAGTTTGCCTTTACGTACCGATACTTAACAGGAGCGTTGAATTCAAATTTTCTTCTTCTCCTGTCAGGTTAAGGATCCCATAATCCAGTACAAGCGTCTGAAATCCCAAGCAGCTCTCTAGAGTCCGAAATGGGCCTATACTGGAAGTTTAGTTGAGTGCTTGATCAGGTTATAGACTTAATAAGTCAGCTCCTGGCTGACAAAGGAATGCGAGGCTTCTAAAGTTCCGCTTGTTTTGTAGCGTGGCTACTTTTACTGTTCAGTTGTCAGACAAATTTGTTCCTGTTTACAACTAGGCCTTTTGATTATCCGACCATAGTTTTATAGATAGATAAGTAGTCAAGACAAATGATGACGAGTTATTGGGCTATGATCACATCTCGTGTGTTGGCCTTTCCCCTTGGTGCATGAAATCGTCCATTTTCCTTCCAATAATATGAGTTGAGCAATAAATAATTACAACCCGCTTTCTACTGCTGCTGATCCTTAAAAACGACGTAGGTCAAACGTCCTTGTCCATAGTTTATTGGCTGCCTTTCACTGAACTGCTGCTAACCCAATTTTTCTTATCATGATTAATATTTTTAATTTTTGTTGCTCCTCTGATACTATGTGACCTTGTTTGAGGGTAAATGCCACATTTGGTCACTGAGATTACTAAATCATGTCATGTTTAGTCACTAGAAAAATTTAATATCAATTTTGGTCACTCGAATTACTGAAACAGGTTACATTTAGTCACTCTCCCATTAGCCTCCGTCCAACTCCGGTCATTCGAATTACTTAAACGTGTCATATTTAGTCATTCGAATTACTGAAACAGGTCACATTTAGTCACTCTCCTGATAGTTTCCGTCCAACTCTATTAATGATGTTGGACAGAAACTAACGGGAGAGTGACTAAATGTGACTTGTTTCAGTAATTCGAGTGACCAAAATTGATATTAAATTTTTCTAGTGACTAAACATGACACGATTTAGTAATCTCAGTGACCAAATATGACATTTACCCCTTGTTTGATAATGACTATATGCTAATCTTCCTTTCTTTTCTCATTATGAAGTCTTTTCCTTCAAGAGTCTGGAACTTGAAAGTTTTTGTGGCAGTATTTGTACAGGGCTAAGAAATGATCCAAAGTTTTGTCCTTTGTGCCCATGTCAAGAGCCCCTAGTATACCATCTTTTTCCGACCAAAACATTGCTACTACGCTGTTGCGCTGCATAATTTCGTGATTTCAATTATTGAATTCGTACAACAATATATGTGCAAGTAGGGGTGAACAAACACACCCGCAAACCGATCCACCCGTCCAACCCGACCCAACCCACCCGTATTTATCGCTAAAACGAAGGTTTTGGGTTGGGTGACGGTTTTCTTTTGTGCAACCCGCCTCTTTTGGGTTGGGTTTGGATTTTGGATTACACAACCCGTAGAACCCGACCCAACCCGTGTTCCAACTATTAGTATGAGTTCGTATCTAAAAAATATTTATGTCGTATATAGCCATACTTATGTGAAAATTAAGATATTTTGCCATGTTTCTCTATCATGGTCTCCCTAATCTAATGCATTCTTCGACTTAAATTTTAGACATAAATTGAATATAATTATGATTCACGTAATCATTTTTCTTGTATACAATTTTAATAGAATAACATATTATGGATGCATTTGTTTATAACCTTTTTAGCCTATTTCAACAAATATCGTGAAAAAAACTAGACATATGTTGAAGTAAATCACATTTTATTAAAACTCAAATAACATTTGTGAATTTTGATATCTTTCACCTCGGTTTATTTGTTTGAAATTTTAATTAGTTATAAAATATTTTTATGGTGTATAATAATTATATATTTTATGTTGGGTTGGGTTTTTACTTAAAAATATCGCCAACCCGACCCAACTCAATTAGAAACAAACCGTAGGGTTTAAATTTTTTTGGGTGGGTTTGGGTTTGATAATTTCCAAACCGTAGTGTATGGGTCGGGTGATTAAAATACTTAAACCCGAACCAACCGACCCATGTACACCCTATGTGCAAGTAATGTTCTTATTTGTATATAGTGAATCAGATAACAACACCATATAGTTTAATGATATATATCCCACGCTAATCAACTCTCCAGACAAATCAAATGAAAAGATGCTATCATTTTGAACATTCGAACTCGTCTCATTGAATCCGGGTGACGAAAATCTTAGTGATGCAGGAGATGATAATTTAATCCTATCGTCAGAATTTGACAAAGAGAGAGTCGGTATGCAGGAGGAAAAAGCAATCACAAACTCCATTCCCATACAATTGTGATGTCGGCACCTTTGGTGTGCACTTGGACTTGGGACTGCTAACCGCACATGAATGGACAAACCTCGGCTAAGGAAACGAGAGAAAGAACAATCGTTCGTTCTCCCCACTCTCCCAGGCCACCACATCATTGTATCAATTCCCTCTCCTTAACAACGTACACGTGTCCTTCAAGAAACCTCTATTCTCACCTAGACCACTATCCCCCAATCTCAAACGCCGCTCTGTGACTGTCACAGAGGACGAATCTTCATCACTAAGCGTGACCCGGACCCCACTTCACCATCATTTCCAGCCCTCCGATCATTCCAACGGCCCCGATCGAAACCACCCCCAACGATAAACCACCCGCCCGCCCCGCTTTATAAAACCCGCGCCACTTCCAGATCTCTCTCTCTCAACTAGCAATACTCGATCACTGTTAAGGAAAGGAAAGGAAGTGAAAGAATTCACTCCCAAGGAAGGAGAAAGAAAGCTCCCTCGGTTCGGTTAGAGAGAGAAACGGAATCCGAAATCTCGTTCCCACGCAGTTTACGTTTTGCTTCCACCGTGGAAAAGGTACGTACAGAGAGAGAGAGCGCGCGCTTTTGATGCGATTCACTCGTTTCTCGTGTGATTGGAGTTTGTTTCGTTCTGTTTCTCTTCTGAATTCTGTATCTGTTTTGTTGGTGGATTGTGTGCAGATGGAATCCGAGAAGAAGGCGAAGAGCGGTGGTGGTGGTCCGGAGCTGAAGCATTTGGGGATCGTGAGGTTGGCGGCGATCAAGGCGCTGGTTACCGTCTCGAGTCTGTACGGGTACGCGAAGCAGAACTCGGGCCCGCTGAGATCCGCCGTCGGCACCGTCGAGGGCGCCGTCTCCTCTGTCGTTTCTCCTGTCTACCAGAAGTTCAAAGGCGTTCCCGATGATCTCCTTGTCTTCTTCGACAGGAAGGTAAGCCGGACGGACTACTCTCCTTTTTGGTTTTCCGCTACCGCTTGTTTTCTGTTCAGATCACACCGGCCTCCTCCTCCGTTTGGGGATTTCTATTTATGGAATTGTGAATCTGATCGGGAATATGTACTGTTATGGTTTCTTACTGAACTAGAGAGGTTTTAGTAGGATTTGACGATGTTTGTTCTGTTCGTGCTAGGAGGATCAAGGATGGCTTTCTGTGCGTGTCTTCTGCTCTTAATTGCTATTCGTTGTATCATGAGCCTAGATTGTTACCTCATCAGGAATTTGTGCCATTTTCTCTGTTGTGTGTGGAATGTGGGGAGTGCTTGGAGAGCTTGAATTAGAGAGCTTTTACAAGGATTGTTACGGAATCCTGATTCGAGATTGACAATGATCTCAGAACAGCGCTCTTAAATGATAGAAACTTTCAGTCTCTTGATATTCTGATTTTCAATCTAGCTTGATTTGGGAATGTTGCATTTGACATCTTGAGGCATTCATCTTCATATTGGATGGAATTTTCAGTAGGTCATGGACCTCATTAGCAAATATCCCTAGTTGAGAATGGAGGTTGATCGAATTCGGTTTTGTTTGATTCAACAGGTAGACGAGGCTTCCGCCAAGTTCGACAAGCACGCACCACCAGTAGCAAAGAAGGTAGTTGGCCAAGCCCAGTCCCTGTTCCACTCTGCAGCCGAGAAGGCTGAGAAACTTGTGAATGAGGGCAGAACCAAAGGTCCCAAAGCCGCCTTCTGTTACACAGTGACGGAGACCAAGCACGTTGTGGTGAGCAACTCTGTGAAGGTGTACTGCATACTCGACAGGTATCCATCTGTCCACTCGATTGCGGAGTCCACTCTGCCGACTGCAGCACAGTGGTCGGAGAAGTATAACGAGACTGTGAAGGGCTTGAGCCAGAAGGGTTACCCGCTGGTTGGTTACTTCCCTTTGGTGCCGGTTGATGAGATCGAGAAGGAGTTTCAGCGGGAGAAGGGCGAGGTGAAGAAAGAGCATGCAAATGGAGGCACTAAGCATAAGAAGGAAGGAGATTCATCTTCTTCATCGGATTCGGATTAGGGTGTTTGGAAATGTTTGAAACGTGGTTGGCAATGATGGTGAAACAGAGGTTTCGTTCTCTTGTGTGTGTAGAAAAAATCTGTAAGACCCTCTGAAATGCTTTCTCGGAAGACTGCTTTAGCATGAAATGATAATGCGAGAGAGATTTGTTTAGTGTAAGTACAGTTTGTTTCAGTTAGGTGGCTTTGAAAACAGTACTTTGGGGTTTGTAGGGTGAATCGTGATACTGTAAGGCGAAGTTCGTCATTGTAGTTTGGCTTGAGCTGCAGTTTGAAGCTTAATTCAGAGTGGTCTGAAATCTTCCGCCTCAGTTGATTCAAAATCTTAGTTCTGCTGATTTGTTACAATCTTCTCACGTCGACAAAGTTCACAAGTTGAGCATCCTCTTACTATCAGTGATGGCTCTTGTTCATCGTCAGCTAAGAGCTAACCATCATTTTGGGTAAGCGAATTGATTGTAAATTTCCTGTGATCCTTCAATATTAGTGCTGGACACGGAATACCACTTCTGTACTCGACTTTATGAAATCAGAAACGCAACCTTACACAGGTCTGTGCCAGTCTAGAGGCAAAACCAGTACAAGTAACATGAAGCACAATAAGACATCAATAATTGTATCTGTGGGCTACAGAGTGCAACAGTAGCCAGTGTACCACGTTGCTGGTTGAGGTCATTCCAAAACGACATGATTTATATTTCCATTGTTCAACTGGAGAAGAAAATTGCACAAAACAGAGTTACATAGACGATTATTTCAACCCGAGTATGTATTCGGAACCAGGAAACACACTGGGCAAGTAGTTCATGAGTTCTCGGACAATCACACAACCAGACGGTCTTCCTTCAAAGTGAAAAAAGCTCGTCCAAGCAACCAGTCAAGCTCCTGCGCCAAACAACAGGAGAAGATATAATTCCTTGTGCAAATCCCACAAATGAATAAGATCTCATGGGATCGTTCCACTCATACACAGCATAATGGACGAAAGCAGTTGACATGCAAGATCAGATGAATGAAATAGGAAAAGCAATCAAGTGTAATATAAGGGCTCGTTTGCTTCATGGATTTGAAAAATGAAGGTTTTGGTTAAAACCTGGGTTTTACAAAACCATGGATATATGATGGAATTGCCCCATTTGGTTTTTGGTACAAACCATTGTTTGCTTGTTGGATTTCATGATGGATTTGGCATTGTTATATTTGTGGTTGTATTAGGAATTTACCTTAGTGCCCTTATTGAGTATTATTTATTTTTATATTATAATTTTTATTACAAAACAATTTTCATCTAATAGCTTCGTTCCACTAACACTATCGGAACAAATGAACATCATCGATCAATAACAAATTTATATTATACACACAATTAGACAATTACTTAAGGTTTTCAATGTTGCAAAGTATGCTTTGAGATTAATCACGTAGTGCTTGTGTGCAATGGATACTAATAAATATTGAATGCAAAATTAATATGCACTACAAGTTGGTCATTAGTAAATGAAAGAGGATAAGTTGGTGATTAGTGAAATAAGTAGGGTTAAAATTGTAAAAAGTAATCATGGACTTTGTACCCCAAAACAAATCCCACCTCTTGGGGTGGAATTCTCAAGTCCGTGGGATCCACGGATTTGGACTCTTAAACACTGTGGGCCCCATGGATTTGTCCCTTCTAAATCCATCAAGCAAACGATGGATTGTGTACAAAGTCCATGATTGTTGGTTTTTATGTACCAAATCCATGATGAAATCCATTAAACAAACTAGGCCTAAGGGAATCGCTTTCCAGGAAAGCTGCTTTAATCTCCCATCTATAGCTCTATCAGCCACCAGATATCAGGATTACTCATACCAGCTGCTGTGTAGAAACAAAAGTAACAGATCTAAATGCTTCCCTTTGAACCACTCAGCCATCTCTCTACACAGTGCTAACATCACAGAAACTGAATGACAATAGAGTAATTCAGAACAACTTGTTGGCTGATTTGAACAATCAACACAATTCCAACACATCCAAATCATAATGAGAAAACATAATGATCGATATCCCTGAGTGATTCATATAAAAACATGAGACGATTGCACAATCAACAAAATCAGCATAAGCACCTCAATCAAAAAATGAGAACACCGAACCTGCGAGAATGAAAAGGTCACTTGGGAGGAGGATGACCATTGAGTGTGCGAAGAACATCATCATAAGGGTCCCTGCGGCCTTGGACCTGGCTGATCTGAGGGTCCCAAAACAGCTGCGCATTGTGGCGATCGAACGTCCAGAACCCATAAGGGCGGAGAGGCAAGCTCCACATCTCCTTCGTTTTCTTGCACCGATCCTTCATCGAGTACACATGTTCCCTGAACCTCTTGTCCCTCTCTTGAGGATCCTCCATCAACCTCAGGATCAGATTCTCCGCAAACTCCTTCACGAACCCCATCTCAAAATGCAAACCCTAATTCGTCCAATCGAAGATCGGAATGGCACAAGAATAGAAATTCACGCAGGGAATTGAGAGAAAACTGAAATCAGTCGAGTCGAATGAAAGCAAAATCAAATTAGGATTACGAGAGGAAGATTCTTACAAGCTGCCTGGTGTCTCTGACTCTGGTTGCGGTATCTAGCGGGAGAAAACTGTGTGGGGAGAGAGCAGAGAGCTCGACCGCCAAGGAAAATAATAAAACGGCAAAAACCAGATCGCGCGAGGTAGCTGGCGACTGATGAGAAATGGACCAAAAGCCCAAAACTCATTTGAAGTTTTTCAGGCTTGTCGTTCACGGGCCTAATCGAATTCCAACAGTAACCTAATGTAAAATAGGAAAAAGCCCAAAACTGTAAATAAAGTCCAATGGGCTGAATCTATTTTCTTGGACCTGATAATTGATTTAATCCATTTAATGTAATTTTCTTTTAATTTCTTGATATGGCCGACTGAATAAGGTGTTTAACACTCATGAAGTGTATTTTGGTAACTGCTCCTCACAACAGTAGTTATGGACTTATGGTCTCGGTCAAAATACAAGTTCTCTCATTTTTCCTTTCAAATTGATTCCTCTTCTCCGTCGCGACTTGAAATTACTATGGGACTTGAAAATCTATGCGATAACTACAACGGTCAGCCTCATCCACTTCTGCGCCATCGGCCATTGTTGAAATATTCAATTCTATTGCATTTTCTTTCTTTTATCTCATTTCTCTAATTCTAGTCGACAGTCAAATCCTCACTCCGTCGGCGATGCTACTGCTCTACATGAGCGACATCATCTTCCGTTGGACTCCTAGTTCCGCTCGCCTATCGAAATCCGACCCCAATCTCACCTCCGATGCAATAAAACACATTTTACAAGCGCACATCCTAAATTTTGTGGAACGGTAACCGTTTAAATTTCATATAATTTCTCATTAATGTTTCTTGAATTTTCATGCTCGTATTTGTCTAGTTTGTGGTCCAAATTATGATGTTTTTTGGAGTGTTATTTTGAAATTCTAGTGTAGTTTCAGATGTTTATGGTCTGTTTCATTACGCTTATGATCCTACTTCTCGTCTTCCTGATTTTGACGACGTGACTATTTTGAATGCAGACTACCTTCAGTTAGATAGAAAACTCGTACAAAGTTCAAAGTTGTTTCTTTGGGCTTCTTAGTAGAGTTCTTCTATCCATCTATGAATTTGCTTCTCTTATAATGGGTTGTCCTCGAAGCCCCAACTTTTGGTCACTCAGTCTCTTTGTCTAGTGTTTGGTGTTTACCAACAACGTGACTATTACGAATTCCATCATACAAAAACATAGCACCAATAGAGTTTTATATGTTTGTGATTTTAGATCTATTGGGTTAAGATTAGTTTGTCTTCCCAAAGTAGATATTAGTTAAAAACAATTATCAATGGCATATCTCAATTCTCACCCCTTCTAATTTCCAAAGACGTACTTGATTAATATTAGCTTCATCTATAATTGATTGAAAGATGGTATACATTTTGAATTACTATCACTTTCGCACTCTAAGTCCTAACTTCGCAATTGGACTATTGCTACCGTATAGTAATCCTGTTATTTTCCTCTTAGGAATGTTAATGTTTGTCTAAGCTACATAACCACTACAAGTAAATGGCGAGGAAAATGGTTGAAGTAACTAGTTGTAGGAGCTGTTAGTAGATGGTATATATATAGGTGCTGTTAGTAGATGGTGTATATATATTTTTTGGGTGAAAAGGTGCAAAGCACCGCAACTCAATTAAGTAATCGAATGAACGGTGAATCCTCTCACAGAGTCATACAACAATCAATGACCAATGTAAGGATCACGAGGATCTTTAAGATGAGTACTCGGACTAAGAGAGCTATTAATAGATGATATATGCTTCATAATTAAATCTCTTCCAACAATTTGAGTTTTTTTTTTTTATCAATTAGTTCTTGATATGGTATTAGAGCCTTTATGAGTTGGCTTTCGTTTGAAAGGATGTGTTAGTAAATGTTAAATAATCCATAATTGAACTTTTTCCAACAACTCGAATTATTGGGACCGACTGATTCTTGACGGGAAGTTGAACCCAAAACCTAAAGGTTGCTTGGACAACTCGAGGAGTTAGTCAAAGCAAATGGTGGTAGAAATTAATGGTTGAACAGAAGAACATGCTTTTACTAATGTTCCTCCCAATTTAAGGGGTCCTACCCTGTGGGAAAGAAGGTGTAGGAGGCTTACCTTAAAGATGAAAAGTAGACATGAGGCATGGAATGGGGGATTAGTAGTAGGTATTCTAACCCTAATAATATTCCTTCCAGTTTCAGTCCAGCTAGCTATTGAGGTTTCTAATAAAGAAGATTGCTTGTGCCACAGTCAATCCGCAACAATAATATGACCACTACCAAGCACCATACTCAATCAATACCACCATCAAGCAATTTTCTTTCTTTCTTTCTTTCTTTCTTCCCTTAGGATTGTTTGGATGGGAGATGATGGAAAATGAACTGTGGAATAATGCAATCCATCTTTGATTCGTCAAGAATCGTTTTCTCTATTAAGAAGGTTGATCGGTTTTATCGTACCATATTGTGAAAGTTAATATATCCAAAGAAATCATATGGTATACAGTTTCCCGTTCAAATGTTTGTGGGTAGATACAAACTGTCTTTATTACTATTATGAAGAGGGGGGAAATCAACGAGACTTATAACCAGCTCGAATGCAGCACTTTGAAATCACAAAATTGCTATAACATCGATATACCAAAATCTTGTTGGTCGATTTAAAATGTTATGTTCTGAAGTTTTCGTTTTAGTATACTTAAAAATGAAGCATTATACTGAAATTCACTTATGATTGATTATTTTGCAAATACTATTTCTAACATCCTTGCCCCTGCTGTACAAATCATTCCTTTCCCTATTTCGATGTGGTTTTCTTTGGAACAAAGCTTCAAGCAGCTATAAGTTGGCGTGTACTGCTATGCGATCATTCATCAACCTGTGGAAGCACAATGTGAGAATATTATTATATATATTATTTATAGGATAAAAAACAACATTATTTTCCCATTGTTGCATTTAATTGATTGGAGGGCAGCAAGCAAGGCCGGTTTGTTGTATGCATATGCATATCATTAGAGGATAGGTGGTGATCGCAAATTTGATTCTCATCGTTTATTATTTATTAGTAGTCATTTACGAGAAGGTTGTATTGTATGTTAGAATCGCTTTGATTTTACAGGTGTGTCGAGAATTTATGAGATCGAGTTAAACTCAAATGGTAAAACATAAACTCTATTTATTAGCAACTAAAAGGTAGCTCAAATTATAAAACACAAAGATTGACGTTTGCAAATTTGATCCTCACAAGCTAGTGTTTATATTAGTAGTCACTGATATGACTATATTCCCAAATCACCAGATTTCATAAATTTGTCATATATTCATGAAATCTCGATATACAACGATGCTCACCGCTCGTCCAAAACAAAATTATTCTCCAATTCTTTCCTTTTTTTTTTCACTTTCCATGGAAAATTCGAAGAAACGGTAGGGAGTGGGTGATGGAAGAAAAAAAAAAGATTCTGATCTATTTTCAGCTTCCGATTGTGAGAGGACAAACAAACAAACAAACAACATGGGCTAAGGAAACAATCTAAAAGATGCCGTTGTCCTTTGTTATTCTTCTTTTTTCCCCCTTGAGATTTGATGCCAAGGAGGAAATTAAAGGGCAGCGAAATTTGCAAAGTGGATTGCCATTCATTGCCCAGAAAACCAGCGGGGGAAAAAGGAAAAGGAAGTGTTGATTGATTGATTGATTTGGAACGCACTTAGAGTTAGAAACAAATCTTTATGACGATTTATCACTTTTATAATATAGATCGATAATTATCTTCAAAGCATTTAGGATTTCATATAATTATTACTAATTGCCTTTTTTTAATTACTAGCTTCAGTTTCGGATGACTAATGATGCCAATAGAGGCTTCAATCTTTGAAATAAATATGGGTTTTACTAGTCTTTTGGTGGTACTACTGTTTCTGGGGCTGACAAGTTGTCTTTGATGAATAAAGCAAAGAGAAAGACTAACATCAAATATGATATCTCCTCCTTTTGTTGGAAGGAAGTGTATGTCACTGTATGATTCCAAAAATAATTCTTTTGTACATTAATTTGATTCGATTTAAGTGTTGATTTAGTTTAATTTCGTCTACCTTTAGACGAATCTTGCTAGTGTATTGAAAGATGCCAATTTTTTTATGGATCTGGCAATAACAAAATTCGCATTTATACAACTGCATTAATTTTAAAAAAAAGTACAATATACTTTTTTTTGACAAAAGATAATCATATATTGATACCAAAAAATAGATAGTCACACCCTGGATCTAAGCCAGGTCCGAAAATCAAAAGAGCGACTCATAGCCGGGTACAAAGAAAGGGCTTTTCTAGCCACCATATGGGCTGCCCTATTATTACTCCGACCTATAAATCGCACACTAAACCCAGGAATGCCACCAAAATAATGTAAGACTTCTTCCAGCACAGCACCCATCCGGTTATCCCTAGCATCCTTGCAGTTGATTTTATCAATGATACCCTTGGCATCCCCTTCGAAGCGCATCCCCGTGAAACCCTGGCCCAAACACCAAGTAATGGCCTCCCGGAGCACAAGCAACTCCACGATCGCTGGGTCATCAACCCCCCGAAACTGAATCCCGTGAGCCATAAGAACATCCCCCGAGGGAGTCAGAAGAACCATGCCACCTGCTGAATGCGACCCCTTCCTAGTAGCCCTATCCCACTGGCAAATAAACCCTGCACCCTGGTCCGGTCCACCTGACCGTGGAACCGCCGGGGGAGAAGGCGCAATAGACACATCCACTGGCAGCCCCACCCATTCCTCATACTGCTGAGAAAACTGTCTCATCAATGCGGGGAACCCAAACTGCTTTCCCTCAAACACTACCCAATTTCTCGACCGCCAGACGCGCCACAGGACAGAGACGACTGCCATGAGGAGCTCCGACTGCTGAATTAAGGCCAGTAAGCGTTTAAGAAACAAAGGAAAAGTCTGGCGGGGCAAACCCTCCCCTAGGTACTCTAACCCTACGAGCCCCCAGAGCTCACGCGCCACCGGACAATCCAGAAACAGATGCTCCATGGTTTCCGGGCCACCCCAACAGACCGGGCAACGAGGGGGGACAGGGACCCTGCGCTCAATAAGGGCTTCCGTTGTGGGGAGAGTTCGATTGAGAATTTGCCAAACAAAGACTTTCAGCTTCGGGGGAATATTCGCCTCCCATAACCTGATCCAACTAGATCTATCCATCCAACTAGCTGACGCCTTCCAACGCCCCCTCCTTCTATCTAGGGAGACAGCCAGATGATAGGCCGACTTAACCGAGAACACCCCATCAGTCGTAAAATGCCATATCAATTTATCTGGAAGATCCTGCCTGGGGAGGGGAATAGTTTTTATAATACGGCACGTAGGCGGATCGAACCACATGCTGAGCTTTGAATCACACCACCGCCCTTCCCCCTGACAAATTACCTCAGCCACCGTTGGATCCCCCCCCCCCCCACCGGAAGAACCACCGGGTTAAACCTCGGGGGATCCAGCTGTAGCTGAGGAATCCAGGGGGACCGAAGCAGGGAGGCCGAGCGCCCATTCCCAATTTGCCATCTGAGGCCCATTTCTAACAAATCACGACCATACAAGATGCTTTGCCAGCCCCAAGAAGGGCGCGACCTGGCTTTCGCATTGAGAAAATGCCCTGAGGGGAAATACTTACCCTTATAGACCTGGGCTAGAAGAGATTGGGGCTCAACCAAAATACGCCAGCCAATCTTGGCTAAAAGAGCCTGATTGAACTGCTCAAACCGGCGGAAGCCCATTCCCCCCTCATGCTTACTCTTACACATATCCCGCCAGGCCACCCATCTAATTCTCGGGTGCCCCTCCTCATCACCCCACCAAAAGCGCGCAACATGCTTGTCCAAAAGGCGACACAATGATAGAGACATCTTGAAACAAGACATGACATGCAATGGCAAAGCCAAGGCAATGGACTTAATCAGCGTCTCCTTCGCTGCCCAGGATAGGGTCCTACGTTTCCATCCCTGAAGCCTTTTCAACAGCTTAGCCTCCAAATACCGAAAGGTCTCCATTTTAGACCGAGCAATCAAAGTGGGGAGACCCAGATATTTATCATGCACCCCAACAGCTCCAACTCCCAAAATCGCGGCTAAGAACTCCTGGTCAGGAAGAGCAATATTCTTACTAAAACAAACGGCCTATTTACCCAAATTGACACGCTGCCCACTAAGTTCCTCGTATTCATTTAGTACCGTGATTAAATTTTCACACTCCTGCAGCGTGCCCCGCAGGAACAGATAAGAATCATCAGCAAAAAATAAATGTGATATACGTGAGGCACGTGGGGCCACTTTAACCCCTGCCAACCTCTTATCCTCAATTGCCTGACGCAAGAGTGCCGCAAACCCCTCAGTGCAAAGCACAAAAAGAAGCGGCGATAACGGATCACCTTGCCGCAGTCCCCGCGACGGTCTGAAGTACCCAGAAGGAATCCCATTCATCATGACCGAGAAAGAAGACGACCGGAGGCATTCATGTATCCACCCCTGCCAAACTGAGTCAAAACCCATCTTGTCCAAAATTGCAAGAAGAAACGGCCATTCAACTCTATCATAGGCCTTTTCCATGTCAACCTTAAGAGCCATGTACCCCTTCTTACCTTGCTTTTTGATTTTCAAGTAATGCATGAGCTCATGTCCGAGGAGGATATTTTCCACAATTTGTCGATCCTTAATGAAAGCGTTTTGGCCTGAAGAAACAATGTTAGGTAACAGGCCCGATAATCGTTCAGCCATGATCTTAGCTATGATTTTATACACAAACTGGCATAAACTGATAGGGCGTAGCTGCCTCATGGATTCCACATTATCCACTTTGGGGATCAAAGTGAGCCAGGTGTGATTGAAGCTACGGAGCATCCTTCCCGTCGTAAAGAACGAGCAGACTGCGTCAACCACCGAGTCACCTACAATACCCCAAAAGGCTTTAAAAAACTTGCCCGTAAACCCATCAGAACCAGGGGCTTGCTTGGCTCCCATTGCAAAGACAGTTTTCCGTACTTCCTCCGGGTGGACCACAGCCGTCAGACCAGCATTCATTTCCGGTGTCACACTGCGGTTGATAGGCAAAGAAGCCACTCTCTCCCCCATATTGGGGACTTGGTTTTCCGAAGTGAACAGATGGCCATAGAAACTGGTGGCGATATCCGCTTTTCCTTTTTCATCAGTAATCCACTCACCAGTCTCATTTCTAAGACCCGATACAAAGTTCCGTTTACGGCGCGCTCGAGTCACTGTGTGGAAATAAGACGTGTTTTTATCTCCCTTCTTCAACCAGTGAACTCTGGACTTTTGCTGCCAGTAAACTTCTTCCGCCTCCCATTGCCTAGTTAATTCAGTTTCCAGGCCACGGATCGTATCCCAATCAATCGGGTGAATAAGCTTAATCCGCTCAATCTCGCTTTGGAGCGTTCTGATATTTCGTAACGAATTAGTGGTTCCTGCCCTGCTCCAATCATATAATAAATGCCGCAGCTTCTTGAGGCGCTCCCACAGTCGAAACATCGGGGTTCCTTGGATATCCTCCTGCCAAACATAAGAAACCATGGCCTTCACCTCAGGGTTCCCCGCCCATCGGGCATCAAACCGGAAAAGAGGGCGACTATTACGCACATATGGTTTATCGGAAAGGATAAGCGCCCGATGATCTGATCCCTGGTCCGTAAAGTGCTTGACCAAGGTATCCGGAAAGCGGTCTAGCCACGATTGTGAGCACAGGGCCCTATCCAGTCTCTCTCTAACACAGGCCTCCCCCATGCGTTTATTAGTCCAAGTGAATTGATCTCCCTGAAAACCCGGGTCTAGAAGGCCCAAATTCTGGATAAAGTTATGGAGACTGAGGGCTTGCGTAGCATTCCAACGATTCCCTCCATCCTTCTCACTCTCATGGAGAGTCGTATTAAAATCGCTCAGAATAACATAGGGGACTTGGATACCGACACAGAGCTCGCGGAGCTGGTCTAACTGAGTAGCACGACGAGTTACATTGCAACTAATGTAAACAAAGATCGCCACATACGAAAAACTCATTTCATTAACTTGAAGACAAATACAAAAATCCGAATGAAAAAACACCGAAGCAGAAACTTCGGGAGCCCACGCGACAACTAAACCACCAGATGCATCAACCACATCAACAAAAAAACAACAAGAAGACTCAAAACCTAACCCACGCAAACGGCGGGACACTACTCGCCGTCTCAAACGTGTTTCCGAAAAGAACACCAAGTCCGGCTTATTAGAGTGAACTAACCCAACAGCAGTTTGAAATGTGAGGGATGGGCCAATTCCTCTCACATTCCACGCCAAAAGCCTCATTTATCTGCCTGGGGCCACTCAAGGCTGGCTTCCTCCACCTGATCAGAAACGTCATCAACTTCCACAAACTGTTTTTTCGGAGACGGGGGAATGCCCAGATCGCCTCCTACATGCTCCAGCGATCGTTTTCGAGCCCCAATAGCCGGGTGCATCATATTCGATCCATATTCATCCAGGATCTCCTCAACATAACCTTCTTTCCCAACCTGTCGCATCCCAGCAGCATAGTCACTCGGGGCCTTCACGCCACCAGGGTGCTCCATGAGACTCTCTTGAGCCAAGCTAAGACCTGCCTCAAAAGCGGCCACAACTTTGTTAACCCGACCGGAGGGCATCGGAGCCTGCTGTGTGCCACTCCCCAGAGGGATACGCTTCTTAATCTCAAAGCAGTGCATCTCCTCTTCCGAATCGGAGTCAGCAATAAAAATAAGAAGATCATGCGATTTCATAGAGTTAAATCCCTTCTATATTACAAGGTTTACCCGCTTTCAGCATGTTAATCAAAATGAATTTAAATCTTTTCTTTTTTTACAGGGTTAATTGCATGATTGGTCACTGAGATTACAAAAAAAGTTCAAGTTTGGTCACTAGAAATATTTAAATTCATTGGTGGTACTTCAGTTTACTGAAACCGTTCATGTTTGGTCACTCTCCGTCCAACTCCGTTAACTTTTGCTGATGTGGCAGTCAACTCTAAAAATTGACCGTTAACTTAGTGACGTGGCAGCTAAAAAATTATTAAAAATAAAAAAATAAACTTTTATATTTTCCACCTCATTATTACATTCATTAAAAAATAAAAAAAACCTAATTTCTTTATTTTTTAGAAAACGAGACTTGCGGGAAGCAAACCACGATCCTCCCGTCGCCGCCATCGCGGACGACGTTGCGGAGGGATTCCACGACGAAGAACGCGGCGGCGCTGTCCAGCCCCGTCGTGGCCTCGTCCAGGCAGAGCACCCGCGTAGACCAGCAGGCTTTCGGGTCCTTCAATACTGCAACCGAGCAGCTTAACGAGGTTCTTGTGTTGAATTTCGCTGATCAAATTCACGTCGTTAAAGAACTCCTCCACCCATTGGCTTATGTTGAAGATCAACCGCTTCACTGCCACGGTTTGGTTATTGGGAAGAGATCCAATGAAAATTGTGTCAGCTCCTCCTTGGCCTAGCTTCTTCGACAGGCTGAAGTAATCAGTGGCTTTTTCTAAAGTTTCATACTTGAAGTTCATGCTTAACCTATTGAAGCTTATCGATACCTTGCCCAGATTTCTGCGTGCTGTGACAATTTCTAGTAAGTGGGGGAGCTAAAAAATGGAGTAGCTCTTCTAGTTTGTGGAGATGGTTTTTGGGTATATACCTTGTTTAGCCTTTAGGCATTTGAGATGGACAGCGTAAGTTGCGAAGAGTGTGAGCATGGCGAATGCTGCTGATGCTAAGGCAATCGCCATTATCACTCCCAGTGTTGAATCCCCTGAAAATTCAGAACAGAGCCGTGGCAACTCAAAATCAATGCTCAATTTTGCAAGAAAACCTAATTAAGTTATTCAAGATCGTTTCCCCCTTCTTCCTGTTTCTTTTCCGTCGCTTTCCCTCTGATTTCTCAGCAAACAAACAAAACCTAGAAAATTTTATATAAGTTTTCAAAAACAAAGACTCAAAGAGTCCGAAATTACCGCGACGATGCACTCTAACACCTCCGTCACCGTAGAATTTATGTTCGGAGTACTTCAAATAGCAACCGGCATTCAGCGGTCTCCCTTCCCTCCTCGGCAGACATCTTCCGACCACTGCGGCGGCGGCTTTACCCAAACACTCCCGGCAACCATCTCTCCCGACGCTCTCCCAGCACTGCGCCAGAGCATAAGCCCTTCCTCCAACCTCCGCCACTCCGAAAAACTCACTCACTCCCTCCGACACCGCCGCGTACCTCACACTCTGCGCATACTCGAATTCCGCTCCAGCGACGGCGGCTCCGCATGTGAAGTTGTCGATGGTGGGGGAGACGGATTTTGCATAGAAGCTGTAATTCTCGAAGCGGAGGAAGCAGCCGTCGAGTTAGATTCGACGTCGAGCTAGAAGTCATACAAGAAATTAGGTTTTTTTATTTTTTAATGAATGTAATAATGAGGTGGAAAATATAAAAGTTTATTTTTTATTTTTAATTATTTTTTAGTTGCCACGTCACTAAGTTAACGGTCAATTTTTAGAGTTGACTGCCACATCGGCAAAAGTTAACGGAGTTGGACGGAGAGTGACCAAACATGAACGGTTTCAGTAAACTGAAGTACCACCAATGGATTTAAATATTTCGAGTGACCAAACTTGAACGGTTTTTGTAATCTCAGTGACCAACCATGCAATTAAACCTTTACAAGTTATAGTGAAGAGGTTCTATTATATCAAAAATAGAAAAACGGATCTTAATATTCAAATATGAGATCTAGGGATTGAAGATCACGGGTGACATCTTTCCTTTAATCCTTATTCCAAGCTCTTTCTGTTCATAAAAAAAAAAGCTCTTTCTGACATCACTAAGAAAGGGAGTTACAAGGGTAAAAGGTTTGTCGGGAGGAGGGCAGATGATAAATTGAATTTGAAGGTCTAAATCACTCTATAGAGTACCTTCACACATGCATTTATTTCATTTTAGGGTAAATACAATTTAATATCCAAACCTTTTATTTTAAACAATATAATATCCAAACTTTTTCGAAAACAATCTAATATCCAAATCGTCAACTTTCTGTCTGTTTGACCGTTAGTTGACACTTCAAAAAAGTTCGAAGTACGACACTTCATCAATATCCATCGATATCTTCTCTAAAAAACCACCAACATATCGTAGTTTCGAACCCGAGAAGTCCATGACTCCACCATGATGGTATAGAATATCTAAATATTCAGTCATCTGCAATGCCAAAACAAGAAAACAAAGTTGTATTGTGACAATTTCCCCTAAACAAAGCTTTTTGAAGTGTCAACTAACGGTTAAACGAACGGAAAGTTGACGATTTGGATATTAGATTGTTTTCTAAAAGGTTTGGCTATTATATTGTTTAAAATAAAAGGTTTGGATATTAAATTGTATTTACCCTTCATTTTACGAACGATATTTTGGGTTTTGCTTTTTATGGTTAGGATGGTACTTTTATTTGTTGGGGGCAGTGGTAGTGTGAGTTGTAGGAGAAATTATTGGCTACACCGGGAGTACCACGTGGGATTGATGATGTGGTACTCCCGACCAATAAACTCTTGCCACGTTTACACTTAGCTTCATTAATTATCTTTAATTTACTCTGCTCTTAATTATCTTTAATAAACAAAAATAATTAACAGCAGCGTTTCAACTCCCTTGAGACTCTTGTTCCGACCAGACAATTTCTGTTTTGGGAAGGAGAAGGGCCGCCAGAAGCTTCGTCGAAGGTGGATTTGGGTTGGACACCATCGCGATCTCATCGTACTCGGGGGGCTGGACCAAAGTCTTCCCGGCGGTGGCTTCTCGGCGGCTGGGAAGAAGAGGACCTCAATCTCCGTTGGGTTGGATTTGGATATCATGGCGTGGCGGATACACCGATTTGAATCTCATCATGCTCGGAACTGGAAAAAAGTCTTCCGGCGGTGGCTTCTCAGTGGCTGGGAGAACGAAGGATGAGGAGAAAAGAAGGGCAGTCTCGACGGCGGCTTCCCGGTGGCTCGGACCTCGGAGAATTACGGAGGAGGAAGAAAGAGAGGCTTTAATTCCGGGAGGAGGGAGGGGATTTGATTGATGCTAATTATTCACATAAAAGGAAATTAAAAATTCAAATAAAAAGTTTTCAGCAGTAAATGAGTTTTAATGACAGATGGCATATTTTTATTGGCAGGGAGTACCACGTCACCAATCCTACGTGGTACTCTCGGTGTAGCCAATAATTTCTCGAGTTGTAGAGACTAGAGAGAAAAAGAAAATGGAGGTGCATTAGGTTTGGAAAGTCACTCCCTAAGTCCTAAGTCGGTGCGATTGTTGTTAACTGCATCATTTTTGTAGTTAATCATGACCTCAAATTACTAAATTTAGTAATTGCTAGGGGTGGGCACGTGGGTGGTTAATCCGCTGATTGATATCGATCCACCCGTAAATAATCCGATCTGTATATAGTGGGTGATTGATGCGGGTGGATTGCGGATTGTTAAATCTCCAACTCGCACTTATGTGGGTGGATGGTGGGTGGATTGCGGGTCACCCGTATGACCTGCATCCTAATTTTACATGAAAAAATGTTGTTTCTTATAGTATCGAATATTCATCGTATTTTCGAATTGCACTACAGTCTGACCATATACTTCAAAAGGTGGAGAATAAAAAATCATTTTGACTACTATTATTGGTTATTGTGTTGTGCAATATCCATTGGATATTAGATATTGGTATGCAAATTATTGTTCATATCCATTTGATTCTGGCTCAAATGTCACCTTTTACCCCTCATTTCTTATTCGTTTAACTTAGTATTTCATCGTTCCTCGACATATTTCACGCTAGGTTGTGCTTGTTTTGATACATTTCAGGTCCTAGCATGTGTGGAAGGGTCGAGGACGAGTTTTGGGATATTTGGAGGTAAAAAAGCATAAAAACCGAAGAAAAGTCCGAAGTAGTGAAGTGAAGGCGTCCCAGGAAACAACCGCAGTTCACGGCCGGACAAGGCAGTTCACGGTCTCCTAAGACCGTGAAGATGGACCACAAACCGTGAACATCGAACAGTCCAGCGAGGTTCGTGAAGTTACTGACAACAAGGCAGTTCACGGTTTCTAAGACCGTGAACTGGGGCCATCGATCGTGAACCCAGACGAGTGAAGCGGCACGTTTTGGACGACACTGAGTTCACGGACGCGTTTAGGAGTTCATGACCGTGAACTGGCCAACGCGTCCGTGAACAGGTCACTTTCGGGCAAATATGAAGACACCGGCGGGGAGAGAGAAAGTAGAGCTGGTTTTTGGAGAAAAAACACTTTCTTTATCTAGGGTTTCAACCTAAACACCAAAGGGGAGTTCTAGTGAGTGAGAGAGAGAGAGAGAGTGCTAGAGTGATCTTGGAGCATCATTGGAGGCTTGGGTGGACGATTCAAGCCTAGAAGAAGAAGATCTTGATCTCAAATTTGTAATCCCTCTCTCTCTCTCTAGAAACTCACTCCTTTCTCTTGGGTGTTGTAGATCGCTAACTAATACTTTGTAATTACTTGTTTAAATTGAATGATTAAGTGTGGGTTTGCATCAATTTGAGTATTAGAGGTGTTTTCATGGTGATTGTGCATGCTCGTGCTTAGCAATCTAAGGGTTTTGTAAAATTGTGCTTAGCACCCTTAGGTTTGTGCATGTTGGTGCTAGCAATCTAATTAGCCACCTGAGCCTAGCTTAGAGAGGAAAACCCCCCTTCCAAGGGAGACTCAATCGAGTTGGTTTTCCTTCCGCTTTCTAAGCCACCTAAACTAGGTTAAGTTAGGGCAACCCTCAATATTGAGTTAAGCAAGTCGGTTAATCGTGATTAAGTCGTCCGACCTTAGAGTTGAGTGAGGGAGTAAGTCAACTACCGATTGTCTAAATCGAGAGGGTCGAGTGACGCGGCCTTTCATACTTACCTCGGTTTAGCAATTGAGATTGTGGTCTCCGACCACATATGCATCCCTCTGTGGTTCGCGGTTACCAGTTTGCATCTAGGTTGGTTGTGATTAAGCCGCTCAAACTCCGGTTTGAGGGAGAGACCTAGGCAACCGCTAGAGACTGAGCGAGAGGATCGATCTCGTGACAAATCGATCTCTAGCTAATTCATCCCGTGACAAATGGATCACTAGTTGCTCCTCCTAGAGGTTCCCCTAGACTTGGTGAGTGGATCTATCCCGTGACAAATTGATCACTAGTGAATTGATTCCGTGACAAATTGATCACTAGTTTCTCACCCCCGCGGTTCACAACCACCTATGCCACACGACTCCATTCAATCCAACGAGTTATGGTAGCTAGTTAGGGGGAAGCAACTTCTGGGTGAAGCTCCCTTAGTTGGAGTTTTCCTTTATTTACTTTTCTTTGCTTGGTTAGTTTGTAGTTCCAATAAACCTAAACCCTAAGGTTGTTTGCTAGATAACAACCTAAGCGATTGAAGTAGGGGTACATGGATCGACCCGGGTTGACAATTTAAATACTTGCTATATTCTGCACCCGGCTAGAGTTTAAAAACTTGGGCTCTAGTCGGGATCAATTTGTGGTGTAGTTTCGTGCGAGTCACCAATAAATATTGGGATATAAACTATAAATTATTAATTGTATCAAAATCACAAATTATTGATACAATCTTACTAACTTGCTTTGAACTTACTATAAATGTAAGTCAATTTTCTTAATGGCTAGTGAGAGAATTGCTTTTGCGGGTTAACCCGCGACCTAACAACACCCATCCGTCACCCACCCAACCCAACCCGCATAAGTATGTGGGTGGATTGCAAGTCACATGTATTCCAACCCGCTAATAAGCGGGTGAGTCAATTTTAGACCAAAATCCACCCAATCCGCCCATTGCCCACCCCTAGTAACTGCAAACCACACCGTAATGGTTAATCACAAAAATTAATTTATCATAAAGTCATCAATATGATTATGTAAAATTTACTAATAGACAACATAAAAGAAAAGTAGAGAAATAAAAGTGATAACATAAATGATAAGATATAGAAAATGTAACAAACAAATCTCTCCTAGAAAATCAAGAACAACATATGAGAACATATAAATTCTAAGTAGGAGCACTAGCATATTAGCAACAATTCAAAATCATCATTATTCGTAAAAAATTCAATAATTTAACAATCAATATAAAGTATAAGTCTTCCTTAACTAATTCAACAATAGAAAAATAAATTAGTAAAGTACTGACTACTAAAGTTTTGGCAAGTCCACAAAAATTGATAACTATATTTAGTTTATGTTACTATTATCTCCAAGATTGTTAAAAATAAACTTCAATGGTTGAGTGTGGTTCGTATTTTAACCGCAGTGACAACTAACATAAAAATTCAAAATTTTACTAACTACAACAAAACCACTAACCATTAAATGCAGATAGTGATTAACAAAACTGCGTGTGATTCAATGCGTTTGTGGTTAAACCGCAAACCACAAACCAAACATCCATCCCTACATGCCTTCATAAAATAAAAAGGCTTATTGGCTTGGCTCGGTATATGGCTTGGTTAGTGGATACATATCTTTTGAGGCCAATACTACGGTGCCGCAATAAAAAGTGCGGCACCGGTGACGCTTCTTGTTATTGGTCCACGTGGACTAATATGTGGCAGTGGTTAGGTTCGTTTGATCCAAATTTAAACCCTATGGCCCGTGAGACCTAGACCCAACTGCCGCTACCCAAACAGTTCTGTTTGTTATTTTCGTCAGTCTCCCTGGCCAAGGAAGGCGTCGACTTCAGCGGCCCTCCGTCTCCATCGACCGCTGCCAAAGTACCAGTCGATTCCAGAAACAAGATGCCAAGTTTTGAGGTGGGCAGAAAATTCGAGGGTGAAAGAGAAGAGAAGGAAAGCGGATTTGAGGAATGCGCGCTGTGACTCGGCAGCACTTGAGTGGGATGGTTTATTGAGGGGATCATGATACATGGACCAATGGTAGGTCATCTGATCCATCTTTTTTCGCTTCATGCATGCATTTATGTTGCATTAATTCACGATTGAGTCTTGTGTATGGACTAGAAAATTTTAAAGGTCCTGTCTGTATGTCATCCCAGGAACGATGTGCTGAAAACTCAAGCTAGCTCTTAGTGTGAGATTTTTTTTTTTTGGTGAGATTATTTGTGTAGTCATGCTCTAAATTTTGTGTTTAATTATGAGTAATCAGAATGTGTTATTGATGTACTGCTCCGTTGAATATGAGTTGTACGTTTTAGACAGTTTGGTCTCTTTCGATGCCAGATGAAAGAGGATGAGATGGGAAATGCGAGGTCACTGAACTTTCTTGTCTAGTTTGATTAAGGTTTATTTTTGCTTAAGCATATAAGTTAATTGATTCTACCAGCTCGATGCGACTGATAGGAGTTGGGTGAACATAAGGCGAAGAGGTCAGACACATATTGATAACTCTGCAGTTTCTTATAGAGACCTGTTAATAAAGCAGCTAGCGGCAAGTGGAAGAAGGGAGGAGGAAGAGAACAACATGCACGCAGCCGCCTTGGTAGGGTAGGTACTGTTTCTGATATCCATGTCTATGATATCCCTCATAGCTCTTTTCCTATAATTTATTCTCGCTAGCTCGTATTCATTGAATTTGGAAGTAAAGATTGATTGGGAGCTTGCTTAATTGGGCGCTTGTTGTTGTTCGTAATTCTGATTTTGTTACCTGAGAAGAAGCCAGCCGGTAGAATATAAGCCTCTGACGCGCGCTTTGGTGGTCTTTCATTGGAATTACTCTATCTCGATCGGAGGGTTTGATTTAGCTTAGAACTTGGCATTGGATCCTGTTTTACTTTACTAGATTATGATAGTTGCACTCGCTATGTTTGAGTAGGTAAGTAACTTAT